CTGTTTTGGCAGGACCGCCGCTGTGGGGTCTGAAGGTCCAGTCGATGGACATGAGGCTGGTGATTCTGCTGGAGGAGGTGAAGGAGCAGGTCAGGCTGACAGTGCCTCCTCTGACCACGCTGACCTCTGCTGGAGCCGCTACTGAGATACAACACACGCTCCTCCACAGCACTGACACACAGAGACATCAGTAAGCATGGTGTTCAGTGTTCACTGAATCTCCACACACTTGGTTTAGTTTACTGCTTTATTAATCCCACAAGGGGCAATTACAGTGAGGCATGGACAGCACATCACAGACTTCCCTAATGGACATAACAGCACATAACAAAAAACTGAATCCCACATACACACACACACACACACACACACACAAATTCACATAGTTGCAAGTTACAGATTGCAACAATACAAATCCAGTGAGTACAAATACAAATCACAATACAGTGAGTCGGTGTTCACACACTCGATGTTCGCTAAGGATGGGCGATATGGGCTTAAAAATATATCACTATAATTTCTGGTATTTATTGCAATAACGACATCAATGACGATAAATCAGGGAATCCTGTTTCTTTAGAGAAAAGTATTATCTTTCCTATTTTAACCCAAAATAGGGTGTTGTGAGCATTACTGAGCACACAAGTAATGTAATGACAGTTTAATTCATACTGGAAGCCAGGGGGCGCTCTTGCGCAGAAACTCCACATATGCATCACAGAAGTAATAGCGCTGACCACGCTCCAGGAAATCCAGTTATCGCTGTAGCTGAATAAAACACAGATAGAGAAATTATAACTGATGAAACTTGAAGACAATAAACATACAATTGCACAAAATATATGGTTTATCTGTGTTCTTCAAGCTATATCTTGGGTATTTTTTATAATGCAATGTTAATTGACGTGGCCTCTGTCATTGTATATAATACTATCATTCTGTAATATGAAACCACATCTGGGGCCCATTCTTCGTACGTCGCTTAATACACCTGAGATGATTTGAAAGGTTCCAGATCTTCTAATCTTGATAACTGATCTCTGGCTAATTTGGTTCTTCACACAAATTTGCGGATTTGATTAAAATATCTAGATTAAGTTGTCTAAGATTACATAATCCAAACACAAACCTCAAAAACAACACAAAAATGGGTCACTGAGCACAAAATGAATATTCTGCTCTGGCCATTCCAGAGATTTATTTTCACAGCCTTCTTTGCTCATATTTACCAAGGGTGCCAATAATTCTGACCACGACGGTACGATTGCGACAATATATGGTTTATCTGTGTTCTTCAAGCGATCTTGGGTATTTTTATAAGGATAAAGGGTTACACTTTATTTTGATATTCCACTTCAGACATTCCACTAACTATAAGTAACTTTGCAACTACATGTGTACTAACTCTCAGAGTTACATGTGCTGCTGTACATGTTGAGTTGTTGCGTCACTCACTCTCAGTGTAGTTCACTAGTGTATACTGTTATGTTGTAAACGGTGCAGCGGATGAAGCAGATATCGGTCATATCTGATGTTCAGTTCCTCAGAACAATAAAAATCATAAACTGCAAATTCAACTCTGATATCATATCAAACACTAGAGCTGAGTGAACACAGTTAAATCACAGTTCACTGCATAAACACAGACAGTGTCTTTATAACTACTCTGACCAACTAGCAGCTAGCCAAGGAATAATCGGTCATACTTTTTGGATTCAAATTAGACCAATCTACCTTTTTATGCAAAAAAAAAAAAGTTACGACCAGAAAAAAAAATGCATTACTAACTTCTAAGACTAAGTGGTTTATGCATCTGGCAGGACATTATGAGCATGACCTGTGTCCAGAAACACTGATGACTGAAGATCCAGTAAATTAAACCGCATCAGTTTGTGTAAGAGCTCCAGATCATCGTGATGACGTCACTTCTGGGACGAGCCGTCATCACACCGCGTGACGTCACACGCCCGCTCACGTCATCTAAACTCTAATTCACGAGTGTAAAGAGTGTTTTGATTCACACATGACCTTCACAGTATTATTCAGTGTAAAACCCTAGTGATGTTCAAATATCACACATGACAGATATAACTAGTGAATGAAGTGTGAATATAAAAAGATATTATAAAAACATAACCATATAATGACAGCAGTGGCATTTTAACTGTTGAAAAATACCATCATAGGAACTGAATGCTAGGTTTCTCCGGAATTCAGCGAAACTGTAACTGATCTATAGATCAGTGTTATGGATATTTACACACGGCAGATGATTGACAGCTCTAGCTCGTGTGTCTTTCACCCAAACAGACTCAACGCATCTCTAATGACACCGAGTTACCCATTTATAGTCTTTAAGAAGCGATAAACCCTCTCAAACCCGGTTATTAAAGTTCTTCAAACTTTATTCCGCTTCAAAACCGAGCGAATAAAAACACCCAGAACTCACCGAAACCGACGAAAACACACGATAAAACTCCTTTAGACAAGCTTCTGTTCACATCCATGACAGATAACAGGACATATATGATCACATGCGAGTGATTATGAGTGATTATGAGCAGGTATTTGAGCAGATATGAGTCGCGTTTATGTCGCTGGTTTGTTTTTGTCCTCCATGTTTGATACCTGCCCAACAGGTGAGACCGGAAGTGACGCCACAGACCCAGAAGCACTGTTACTGCCCCAAAACCTGTTATTAAACTCACTAAACACTTTAAACCCAGTGCACAAGCAATTTTATAGTTTATATATTATCAGTACATCAGTTATGATGTGTGTTATAAACTCTTTCTGTGTGTCTGAATGGTTGTATGTCAGAGTATATTGACAGTCGATTCTATTTTCATTAAATCAATTGAATGGCAGCTGTCTGATCATAGATGATAACTCAAAATATCTCAGTAATGAATTCTGAAAGCATCACATGTGCTCATGAGTTTCCATGATTTTGGTTATTCTGAGACGAGGGTTGGTTTAGACTGTTTCCTGCTAAGGAGAAATGAGTTTAATGAAAAGGACTGAAATAAGATTAATTTCTGTTACAGTTAATGACTAGAAACCGAGAGTCGGTCACGTGACAGCAGCGGCGCTCTGAACACTAGAGGGCGCCTGAGCGCTTCAGAGAGTAAACAACTAAACCTTCACTGTGTGCGTGTGTGTGTGTGTGTGTGTGTGTGTGTGTGCGTGCGTGCGTGCACATTGGTGCAGTTATATCAGTTCCTCTGTGAGTGTGAGTGTGTGTGAGTGTGTGCGTTTTTGTGACAAATGAGGACATACATTTGTATAATGACAAGGGTATGACATAGGTATTACAAGGAGAAGGTGACTTTTCAGGACATTACCCCATGTCCCCACTTTTCAAAGTCTTTGAGGTTGGAGGAGAGGTGGGGTTGAGTTAAATCAGACACATCCTCCACCCACTGTGAAATACGAGAGCATTTAGAGATGTGTGTGTGTGTGTGTGTGTGTGTGTGTGTGTGTGTGTGTGTGCGTGCGTGCACATTGGTGCAGTTATATCAGTTCCTCTGTGAGTGTGAGTGTGTGCGTTTTTGTGACAAATGAGGACATACATTTGTATAATGACAAGGGTATGACATAGGTATTACAAGGAGAAGGTGACTTTTCAGGACATTACCCCATGTCCCCACTTTTCAAAACGCTTATAAATCACACAGAATGGAGTGTATTGAAAATCTGAAATAGCACAAAGTTTCCTGTGAGGGGTAGGTTTAGGGGTAGGGTTGGTGTAGGGCAATAGAATATACGGTCTGTACAGTATAAAAACCATTACGCCTATGGAGAGTCCCCACTTTTCACAAAAACAAACCTGTGTGTGTGTGTGAGTGTTCAAATATACACACAACTGAACACACACACACACACACAGTTCAGAAACATGCATCAGATTTATACAGATTTTCGAGAAATTAAACATGGTACATGTTTTAAATGTTGTTTATTTGAACGTTTACATCTGTCGCACCCTGTAAATATAGTACTGTTTAACAGAAATGCAAATAACACGAAATGATCAAATAAAACCTTGTGTGATCTTTAAAAATGTTACATTCATTTTTAAATTTTTTTTATTAAAGATTCGGCAGTCATTCATTTAAAAATAACATCTTAGCTTCATGTTTACTTTTTCATTAATGCATGAAAGTTTTTAATGTCCAGTGCTAAACTATAACATCACACAAAATTCAATAAAAATCTCCTCAACATTATTTGAAAATGATATATTTTGTAAATTGTGTGTAAAAAAAAAAAAGTTTCAATAAAGAATCACTCTTGAAAGTAATGAGTATTAATAAAATGCATTACAGTAAACAAAAACAGCTCAATAATCATGAAAATATATTGATATTTAATGCAATATACATATAGTTTCTTTTGGATGAAATATAATGTGACCGTGTTTTCATGAGATTCACCCATTGATCATCCATTGACAAACCTATCAGTCGATTTTGGTACTGAGGTATGGAGGTAATATTACTGTTAATCATCAAACAGTTATTGGCCGATGGACAATATTATCAGATTAATGGTTCTGGTTGATATATAGTTGAGATCGACACACGAGGACATCAAACCACAGCCACTGCAGTGCCTTCATTCAGTCATACCTGCACTTCATCATCATCATCATCGTCATGTGCAATAGCAGTGTAAAATGAGGTGAAGAGAGCTACAGGACAGCGAATAGAGAGAGATATAACCATAGCAACCAAGGTCTGCTGGTTACCAGGTAGAGCCTGAAGCTTGATGAACAGCAGGACTAATGAGATAAAGGCATATCAACTCCAGAAAACTCCCAAAGTCACATCAACCTGTTTGATTAGTAGCTGCTGGTGCGATTGCTGACAGTCTTGCTGAATTTGCTGGAGTGTGTGTGTGTGTGT